CTTTTTTCTTATTTCTCATTTGTGTAAGCGAAAAAGAAGCCTATTAAAAAAAAGTAATACTACATCATCGTATATCTAGTTGTAGAGAATATTTTTTTTCTTGAGAAACTTCTTCATAACGAGATAGTTCTTTACACTATTTTAATGACATATTTTTTTATTATTTCCAATTATAATCATTTTAAAAGAGAAAACTTTATATAGCATTATCGTCCATGAAATAACGCCCCTAATGGAGAAATCAAATTCATTAATGTCTTTTCCTTTGGGATCAATTCCTATGATTTTTTACACAAGGAAATTTTATGATGTTCTTTTTGATAATTTTTTTAATATTTTATGGTAATTTAATAATTTCATGGTATAGTCATTAATGTGTAGTAATTAACAGGAACATGTTCTTACTAATTTTTTTTTTAATATTTTATTGTAATTTAGTTATTATACTGTAAATGATATAAAATACAATAGTCGGTAATTATTTTTAAAATATTGTTCTTTTTTTCGGGTAAATTATTTTAAAATGTTATTAAAATTAGTGCGTGTCATTCATTATTTAATTACTATATAATACGATTAAATTATTATGCAAAATTAAAAATTAAAAATGATGCCTACAGGTAAATAATCAAACAATTATACAAAATTAAATGCTAAATATAATGCCTCCAAGTAGACCCAATTTCATACACAAGTTCAAAAGTTTCATAATATCTCATTTGATTTCTTACGCAATCATAGGGATCTATATATTCCTCTAATTGGCATGATTTAAGGGTGACAAAATCATCATTTAAGGCCATTAGTTTTACCTTTTTTGTTTAATTATTTCCATATAAATATGCTTAATTTACGTACATTTTATTCATAGTATAAAAAAATTATTTCATATAATTGGTATATATTCATATGATATTTGATTTTCATTAATAATATATTACAAGAGAGATTTTATTCCATAAATTATATTAATCAACTTATCTAATACTTGTATGAAGATCAAAGAGTTGAGAGTATTATTTACATCATTTGAATTATAGTCGAAGGAAGCACGATCTATTTGTTGGTTTTGGCCATTAAAAGTGAAAATGCTTTTTTGGTTTTTCAAGTAGATGTTCTTCTAAAAATGGATATTTAAGGGTTGGGATGTAATTTGTTAGACGGATTTTTAGAGTATGAATGAAATCCATAAAAGGATGTAAATGCCTTTTTTTGGTGAGATGCCTAAACTAAAATTTTGTTAGAGAAAAAGAGTGCCATTTGGACTTTACAAGGTTTAAGAATGGCATGTCGAGAATTTAGACGAAAAAATCTTGGAAGACAAAATTCTTCACGTTAATCTTCAATTAACTTCCTTAATCCTCCATCCTAATCTTAATCCTTCTTTCTGTGTTATTGCCTCGTCCCTTTAAAAGGGAAGAAAAAAACGATTGTGTTAAATGACGTTTCCTTGAGGACTTATTCGCCTCCCATCTCCTTAAACGGAGTTCTCCCGGAAACTCTCATTTTCCTTCATTTTCTTTTTAGTTTTATTCCTGGAAATTACTAACTGGGTACGGGCTGGATTTCGGTGGGTCTGTCTTTTTTTCTCATTTTTAACATCTGTGGTTAACGTCTACGATCCAAAAAGGGTAAAAAAAAAAAAAAAAAACGTCTGTTGTAAACATGGGAACCTGTTGTAGCAAGGAACCCCTGTACGAAGTAGTATCAGAGGATCGGGATGAGAAACAGTACGTGCGAGATGGCGAAGATGATGATGAGAATATTGCAGATGACGGAGCCATTGTTAGGCTTCAAGGGCCTTCAGCATTCACTTCTATGTTCACCAAACAAGGGAAAAAGGGGATCAATCAAGATGCCATGACTGTTTGGGAGGTACCCGTGATCATCAATTTCTTTTTTTATACAATATTATCAATCCTTCTTTCGCATGCGAACGAACCAATAATAGGTTTTAATTGGGGTTATGGTTATATAATCTGTTCTTTTGAATATTTATCATCTTCGATTATGTAAATTGAGCTCCTATTAATTGCTTGGCCTTGGAATCTGTTACCCTATAGTTGCATTCATTCAATTTTCTAAATTTTGGCATATGTTTAGTGTCATATAGTTGCATTCTTCCTCTTTTCCGATCAGCCAAGTTGTTCCAGATTAATAGAGAATCTAATTGGTATGATTTTTTTTTTCTTTTTTGACAAGTGTAAAACATCCACGTCTTCTTCTTATTGTTATCTTGGGTTTGGCCATGACCATGGAAAACCAACTTGTATTTATGCTTCTTATAATTCTATAGTGATCATCTTTAACAAGATAATTACATATACCTCCATTAATAATTCCCTCCTAAGCTCTTCTTGGTAATCCTTATGGTCAAGTTGTTGGCAGGACCATTTTCATTTTCAGAACGTTTAGTCTTTTGTTATGTACGTCACTTTAGCTGCCAATTTCCTTTACTTGTTTTAAAGCTCTCTCCTTCAAAGGTCTTGAATTAATGGTTTAATGCATTGAAACTAAACTTGTAATCCCCATAATTCAGAACTTGGCTGGTGAAGATATGTTCTTCTGCGGCGTGTTTGATGGTCATGGTCCCTTGGGTCACAAGATTGCACGCTATGCGCGAGACACTTTGCCCTCAAAGCTTCATTCAGCCATCAAGAGGTCTCAGATTTCAGATGCTTCTGCTGGACAAAATAATTTTGTTAACGGCAGCACAGATAAAGATGGTAATGACGGTGAAAATTTCTTCTTCAATTCCATGAAGGCCAGTTTAATCAAATCCTTCAGTGAGACAGATGATGAACTTAGCCTTGACTCTGCCATTGACAGCTTTTGCAGTGGTACAACAGCAGTAACAGTCATTAAGAAGGTAATCTTATCAGCTCATCCAAGTTTCAAGAATTGAGCTTCTTGGGCTGTGCAGCCTGTGCTACTTCCTAGTTACCCAAAAAAAGGAGCACATTTGTTCTAATGAACTTTCTTCCCCTTAAAATTTTCAGGGTGATCACTTAGTTGTTGCCAATTTGGGAGATTCACGTGCTGTTCTTTGCACAAGAAGCAGCAAAAACCAACTCATTCCCATCCAACTAACAGTTGATTTGAAACCTAATGTTCCAAGTTGGTCTCATTCTTTGTTCTCAATGTATAGCAAACTGTTAATTCATAACTAATATATACATATAAAATATAGAGAGTAACCTTCTTTGCCTTTTTCCTTCACTAATCAGGCGAAGCTGAAAGAATCAACATCTGTAAAGGCAGGATTTTCGCATTGGATGAAGAACCAGATGTATACCGAATATGGATGCCAGAAGACGATTGCCCTGGTTTAGCCATGGCAAGAGCTTTTGGAGATTTCTGCCTGAAGGATTATGGCCTCATCTCTTGTCCTGAAATTTCACACAGAAAGCTTACAGCCAATGATGAATTTGTGGTGTTAGCTACTGATGGGGTAAGAGAAATTCCAAAAGTCCTCCAACTATTTACTCTGATGAATCCAAAACATTGAAATTAGTCTAACTTTCATCATAGAACATGCATCAGTGATTTGAGTCTGAATGTTTGGTTTTTGCAGATTTGGGATGTAATGTCGAACCAAGAGGTGATAAAGATAGTTTCTTCAGTAAAAGATCGATCAACAGCGGCTAAAACACTAGTTAGTTTTGCTGTGAGGACATGGAGAAGTAAATTTCCATGTTCAAGGATTGATGATTGTGCAGTAATTTGCTTGTTCTTTAAGGAGGAGACTGTGGCGAGCAAGTCTACGTCTGATGTGAATGGTGGAAGTAGCGTAAGCCGAGCAGAGTTTTCAGTTCATCGGAAATCTAAATCCGTGAAAAGTGAAGACAACTTTGAAAGAGAGTCAAAAGGGTCTGATGGGGTATCGACAATAAATTCTTTTATAAAGATTCCAAGAATCTCTCATGTGTTTTGAGTTAGACAGCAGCAAAAAGCTCTTTTTATGAGGAAACCAAACAGAGAGGTTTACAAGCATTTTAGGGTTTATAATTTATCCAGACACAGAATTCTGGGAAAAGTAGTCAAGTAATTTTTTCTTTTTGGAAAGGAGAAAAATTAATGGGATTAATTAGGTATTTGTTGAGCATGATTAACACGGATCATACATAAAAAAGAAAATAGATTTTCAGATTATCATTTTTTTTTTTTCTTTTGAAGTTCTGTTCCTGATTTAGGCCTGTGTATGCCTTGTTTCCTCCTTCTGGACTAAGCTCAAAATTTACTTACAATTTTTTTTTTTTTTTTTTTTTTTTTTAAAATGTATATATGTTGATTCATGGCGAGTTTAAACTTGTCACTCTTCCACCTCAAGAATCATCTTTAGGGAAAGTGAATTTTCTGCTCATGAATAATTTGTGAGCTTTTTCTAGTTGTTATTCCATTGGCTTTTACTTTTTCAACAAATGGTGTTAATTAATGAGAGTTTGACAAAATTATAAATGTCATCTACATCATTAATAATATGATAAATAGTGTTTTTGCAATAAATAACTTGCTAAGATGATGGTCGGGAGATATAATGTGAAGAGAGTTTGGGAGTCTTCATTTTTGTTGCAATACTTCTTTAAAATTGGATTTATAATTATTGGCAGTAAAGAGTTTATATTGATTTGGTAGAAGAATAATTAAAATAGTTTATAACAGAGATTTTTAGTACTTGAAGATTAAATTTCTAACATATTGGTGTTATTTGAAATTTAGTCATTATTACTTGTAATTACTTATTAAACACACTTTATATATATATATATATATATATATATATATACACACACACACACACACATAGCATATGGGTATGTTAGGTTTATTTGTAATTTAGTCTAACTTTTTATCATTTTTAAAAGATATAAAATTATATTTATAACATTAAGATTTAAAATATTCTGTCATGTGAAATAGAAACTGAATTATATTCCTCAATTAAAGATAACTACAAATTGAGGTTTTCGATTACATAAAAGGTTAGAACTTCAACTGTTGATTAAATCAAAGGCGATGAGTTTAGTAAAAGAAAGGTTGTAATTTAAAAACTTAGTAAGTTTAAGTTTGTCTTGCCAACTATTGACCCAAAGGCCGTAGTCAAAAACAATTCCATGGTAAAATAAATAACACTAACTAATCTTATCGTAAAAATAAACAACAATTTCTATGATCTCGGTTCTTGGCAGGTTGGGACAAGTCTCATCCAGTCAGGAAGCAAGGATCTCGGCTCCTTATTTGCTAGGATTCTTCATTCTGGGGGGTCATCGCATCCGGATTAGCAATCAACTTTCAAACTTCCTGCTCCAAGCTCAAATAATTAATTACAATTTTTTCTCTTTAAATTTCCTTCTTCTTCTTCTGTGTTTATGTTTTCTGACAGAATTGCTGTATCGTCACGTTTAATTCCTAAGACACGTAAATATTTGTAGTGGCTACCCATATATTTTGCGAGACGCTTATTACTAGCAGATATACAGGTTTGATAAATGGAGCCGATCCAACCAAGTATCCATCGCAGCTGCTTCTGTTGCAGATCACAATCGTTAGTTCCTTCACCATAATTTTTCAGTTTCTTCTCAAACGTTTTGGGAAATACAGCTTTATACCGCATTTGCTGGTAAGCTCCCTTCCGCCTTGTAATTAATCAATAGGATCTAAAGGAATCAAACCCTTTTTTGCGTTTAATCTAATATATATATATATATATATATATATATTTGGTGGTGCAGGGTGGGATTGCCATCGGACCTTCATGCATGGGGAGATACAAGAAATTCGGTGCCAAGTTCTTCTATCCCAAGAGTCTGGTGGTACTAGATGTATATGAATCTTTAGCCTTCATGTTCCTGATGTTCTTGACGAGCGTACGCATGGACATTAGTATGCCCAAGAGAGCCGGAAAGATTTCATTAGTTATAGGCGTTGCAACTTTCTTGGTTCCTTTCATGATCACCACATATGCTGCATTTTTTCTCAGAGAAACCTCTAACTTGAACCAAGCATTGAGCGATAGTCTTCCTATAGTCGCCTCTCTCGAGTCCACAACCTCTTTTCATGTAGTTTTCGGGATACTTTCAGACCTGAAAATCCTCAACTCAGAGCTCGGTCGCCTTGCCTTGTCGTCTTCCATGGTTAGTAACTTCCTCAGCTGGATTTTCTTGCTGGCTGTTACTTCCATGAAAGAAGCTTTAGAAACTGGTGAGGTACACGTAATAATTCTGACTCAAGCTAGCAAAGTGTTTGTGATCATGATCATTGTTTACGTATTTCGTCCTATAATGAAGTGGATGATGAGAAGAACTCCAGAGGGAAAACCCCTCAGGGAATCTGACGTTATTGGAGTTACTCTCATAGTGCTTCTTGGTGCTTTAATTGGAGAATTCACTGGACAGCATTTTCTTTTTGGGTCTCTAGTTTTGGGACTTGCAACCCCTGACAGGCCGCCATTGGGATCAAGCTTGACGGAGAAGATAGAATGCTTTATTTGGGCAGTTTACATGCCATGTTATATCATCAGCATTGGAAGTCGAGTTAATATTTTTCTTGTAAAAAATGTTGATATAATTGTTGTGGAGTTCATCATCTTGATTGCTGTCTTTGGTAAACTTACTGCTGTCTTCATCGCCTCGCTCTATTACAAGATGCCCTTTCTTGATGCTCTCTTGCTCGGTTTACTCTTGAATACCCAAGGCTTCTTTGACATTCAGAACTTCAAACAAGCGATGCTTGTCAAGGTATATACATATACATATATATATATGTTATTTATTTATTAATCTATACCATCAGTTCCTACTTCCTATTTCTGTACATCATATATACG